ATCGTAATTTTCGAATTCTTTGTCATCGTCATCTTCGACACTTTGGCCATTGGCCTTTTTATCACAATCTTTCATAGTAACACCACCAAAATAGGGACCCGTATGAGACTTAAGTTTTAAGAAGATCGGAAATACCGATTCAGAACCTTTTGGATCTTCAGCATTCTCTAATTCAATAAAGCTATTTGGATCTGTATCAGGTTTATCTATATATATTTCACTACCAAAATGTTCGTAAAAGCCATTAAATAGTGGAACTGGAAATTTTGGAGGCAAACGAGGAATCGGATCACCTTTAACTATAGTTCTTTTTGTAATTAGGTTATCTCCAGCATATTTAGCAAATTCTTTATCACCAACTCTTGGTTGACCAAATGTAGAAAGAAATACTTGCTCATTTTTATTAGCTAATGCTGGAACTTGTTGTATAAAATCTAATGCCGAAAATGCAGCAAGTGCTATGATAAAAAAAAAAGACTGTTAAAGAATTGTAATTAAATATGTAAATTTTTTTTTATTTATTGAACTTACCACCACCTAAACTGTGACCCATAAATCCGATCCTGAAATCGGGATTTGCTTCGTGCAATTTTATAAGATCATCGGTAACTTGTGGTTGAATTGCGAGAAAAGCATCATAAAATCCAAGGTGTACCCGAGTATTAGGTATAATATAATCTTTCTTGAAATATTTTATGTCAGTAATGATATTTTTAAAATCAAATGGTATCGTGCCTCTATATGATACGACGATTAATTTTTCTGATTCATCCTTGGCTATGAAACCTACATATTTAATATTTTGTTAGTAAACGCAAGAAGTTAGCGATTTGTGGCACAGTAATAATATAATTACCCTTTGTGTGAAGATCTTTGTTTTCAAATACTTTAACCACTTTGGTACCGGCATTTGCCTGACAGACTTCTCCACAGTCCCAATTATCCAAAGGAGCCTTACAATAAGCAGCGGCAGAGTAATTAGCAAAGCTTTGAAAAACAGATGATAAAGAAGGTACTGGAGGAGCTACGATTAATACTGATAAAAAGATTAAAATTAAAGAAATTAATTTTATGTGTTGTGAAAAGAAGTTATGCGTGAATTTGGTAGGAGTTGCACTGCAACTTGAGGAAATAATGTTTTGCTGCTGCATTGCTTATTGCTTTCCGGAAGGGAATGGTTTAGTATAATGTTTTAGTGTAAAGATTGTAATGCTGTCAGAGAAAAAAAACAGGATCTTTTATACATTTTTTGTAGATGTGCAAGATCGCATCTTTATTGAAATTCAATTAACAAACCATCACACTTATTCCCAGATTTGGTACATTGTGAAATACCACGAAATAATTCTTAGTGATTGTCTTCCGTAAATATTTTTTAGTCTTATTAATGGGCAAACGATCACAAACACACTGAACTCACCGAACACTATAAAATTTATTTTTTTTGCCTTATAGAAAACTATCAATATTTCAAGAATTTCTTCCTTAGATGTTACAAAATATCAAGTTTCTACAAATTTTGAAGTAATATTACTTCAAGTTTGCATAGTTTTTTTAGATATGGTCTTGTCGTCGGAGGAAATTATGAAATTACAACAATAATTAGAATAAATCGTCTTGAGAAATGATCAACACTCGGTTGATTATTCGAACATCTAAAATCCGAACGTGAAATTTTATTTTGTCCAAAATAAGCTATGAATGATAAATAAATGTTCGACATGTTAGATCATTTTGAATAAAACGGACGGGCAATTCAAATTAAAATATTGAAGATTAATGAAATCCTATAAAGCTAATTTTATGCACATGACCGAGATCAGTCATATATATTTTTGATTTGCAAAATAAAATTCCAAATATTCAATTCTCCGAAATTACCTATTTACATTTTCATCCGGATTGTATAGGATTGATTATCCAGTGTTAAATACGCAAATCTGTTTTATTAGCAATTTGTATGATCCATATTACAGGCTGCTGGAAATTCTATAAATATCAATGAAATATATGGTTAGTGATAAGCAATTTTAAATTTTAATTAATTCAATTTATTATTTTCATTGGAATTTTAATTAACAACTTAAATATATATATATTTTTTTTAAAACATTTATTTTTTGAATTCTTGATGTACGGTACATGCGTCACATATATGAATAAGCGGCATTTGGTAAAATGCTAGATTGTAGTATATAAATATATATATTATTAAAATGCCTCTTTTTTAGGTATCGATTCGTCGGATTTATCCTTTAAATACATGATCGTTCTACTGAAGTAAGTTGGATTTAGTTTTTTTAATAAAAACTAACGAATTAATATAAAGGAAATGCTAGCGCTAGTATTTATTAAAAAAAAAAAAAATTAAAAGAAAAATTTTTTTTCTTTAGGAACTTACCTACCAATTCAAACCGTCCTACAAGGAAATTTGTTAGTTTTTTTTTAAAAAAAAAAAAAAAATAAAAAATAACAAAAAAAAATACTAAATTTGATTCTTTAAGACTTACATGTACCTCCGAATTGATTCCAACAAGATAAGTTTTTTTATTATTATTTTTAAAAATTAACTAAAACTTTTTAGGACTTGCCTCCGAAATGATTTACCAAATCATGGCATGGATATCTAAATTATTATTTAAATAGTCAAAATAATTAGAAACTTTTTTTGTTACAATCCCGGATGATCAGTTTCCCGGATGATCTTCAAGTTATGAATTAATCCATAGATTAATTCCTTAAATTACGTTACGTCTACTGCGCTTATCTAACTAATTTAATATCCATTTCGTAAATGTAGAAGTTCAAAAGTTATTTGAATATATCCGTTATTCTAGGATATCCGGATTCAATCTTAGGATCAAACATATTTACAAATTTTGAAGTATATGACGTCAAGACGTCGGATAATCTGACATATCAGCAGACCGCATTCTATATTTTCGCAATAGAATCTAAATGGAGAGTTCAATCTATCGATTAATAGTATAAAATTACTATATTTTATAGTATAGTATCTTGACGAAATATAGTTTTAATTACTTTGCAATTTGTATAGAGTATAATTATTATAAATTTACTATATTCCTTCCATAATTTATTTCGTTACTATCTTCTTTACATAATTAATTTTTTGTCTTTACTATATTCATTCCGTAATTTTTTCTTTTCTACTACTGTATTTTCTTTCTGTAATTTTTTTATCCTCTATAATTTTATATTTACTATCTTTCCTTCCATATTTTTTTTCTTTATCGTTATTACAACCAAATACAGGTATAAATTTATACAAACCCAAATAGGGATAACTGATCCTCAATGTTTATTTCTTTATACTTGTCGTATTTGTATGTTTAGTGATAGATGCCAGTTTTGTTAATTGGTTAATGTGGGTAATATACGTTAAAATTAATAAATAAGTAAACGAAATCAATTGAAATTTAAAAATATTAGAAAAAAATATATCATTTTATATTTATAAGTTGCAAAGAAATTATGAAAGAATTTATTTTTCAAAAAAAAAAATAAAATTCGTCATTTAGTAACCGAAATAAAAGAATTATTAGAAAAAAATATATATTATGTTTATATTTACAAGTTGCAAAGATATTATAATAAAAATATCTATTTTCAAATAAAAATTTTTGTTATTTTTTTCGGTCCAGATCTTTTCTGAAGCATTGTATAGTCGAAAATTTAAGGTGTATACTTAATAGATAATGTTGAGTTTTGCGGTTCACTTTTTCGTTGAATTTGCTATACTGAACTCAGAAATTCGAGTAGACTCAATAAGGAATTATCGTATAATTATTGATAGTCCCGCTAACGTTACCTTTCAACTTATATGAGAGACAATTCACATTTAACATATATAAATAAATAATACAAGAACATGTGATTTCATGTTAGCCATAATACATTTATCAAAAACATTAGATTCTTAGTAGCTTCTTCATCCTTCTTAATTTGATCACTTGTTACAAAGATTTGACTGCTGATCGAAAAGCTTAATTTGAAGACAGTGGAAATGTATTTGTAATCAGCAAATCAATGCTAAAGTTGGAGGATCGGCATCTTAAAAAGGAAATTAGCCGAAAACTAATCTTGATGTCATTTTCTTACAAAAACATTTTCTCGCCGACCGTTGGGAGCGTTTGCTTATATTGATTATGGTCTTTTGTTAAAAATTGTGGGATAAAAGGTTTTGAAAATAATAGAGATTAATTCAATCTAGTAAATCGTGGTAAATTATTATGGAATTTGTTATTAACGACCTAATTGTATCAATTATTGCTTTGGGAAGCTTTTCGCTAAATTAAGGACCAAGTTTTCTAATCTTATCAATTCTAACCTTTTTTGTTCAGATTGACAAATTTGGTAATTATACATTTTATTCAATTATGGAACCTTTTTCCAAAGGATAAGAATCCCAATACTTTTTAATTAAATTAGCAAAAAAAAATATGTAATCTCGGGACTATTCCATCAATAATATTATAAATCAATCTATGTTTAGAAAAGTTTTAATGCCCCTTGTGCATTCCCACATTATCAACCCTTGACAAACAATCCTACCATAAGAAATTACACCATAAATTTCATTATTTAATATGATGTTATTTGCGAATCTTTAGTCTCCAATCTGACATGGAAATCTGAATTATTGATATTAACAAATAATACATATGAAGATCACGATGTATACTTCAAGTTTTTTTTTTTTTTTAAAAAAAAAAAAAAAAAAAATGGAAAAGATACAATTAAGTATCATAGATTTATTAAAAGTGTATCCAAATAGTAAAATTCCTTTGAGATTTCTAAAAGAATATTTAATTTCTTTTTCCATTCAATTGTTGCAAATTATTTTGCAAGTGTAAACCTGGTAATATTTTAAAGATGCATAGGTGGTTTATTTGCATTTGATACAAAAAATAATATTTGACATTAAACAATATCTACATTCTGTATAAATATACAACATCCGAAACAATATTTCTGCCAACCGGTGATAAAGTTTAACATTCACTTGCAAGACGAATACATTACAAAATTTCCCACCATGAAATAGAGAGTTGGGATAATTTTCTTTGTATAATGATTCTGTCCGGTCATAAGAAACTAGATAACACATCCTGGACTTATCTTTCAACAATAGATTTCCAAATATTTTATAACCTTCTACCTATATAGAATTTGTGTACAATTCCTGTAACAAAAAAAATGTTTATAGAATTCCTGTATTAAAATTTCCATTCATTATGATTGACATGTCATGATAGTGTAATATGTCATTGACTAATGTTGAATTGTTTTGTTGATCATCGAGTTACAGTTTCTATTCACTATTATTAACTATTGATATAATTAATACTTGGATTTTTTAAAAACCATTAACACAAATACTAACCATAATACAAGGACGTGTCGCTAGCTATTTATTTTTTATTTTTTCCTATTTATTTGGAATAAAGCTTTGCGAAGATTAAATCATGTGGCTAGGCCTTTCAAGAGATAGATGTGTCTAGCTTATCCACCTCTTCTGTTTAAGAAATAAAAAATTTCTTATTTCCTCTGTCTCATGTGAGGGTTTTCTCTATAGTGCCTTATCACGTCCTCTGCACGTAACTGAAATATCCTCTGCACGCTTTGTTAGCACGATATGATATTACGATATGGCGTCGACAGTCCAATGAGCTCAATTTTATTATTATTTCAAAATTTTGAAATGTATATTTCTTTCTAATGAATATTGAATTTAATAACAGTCGAGAAACGTTTTGATATTAACTAGAAACTAATTAATATTGATAGCTAAGTAATTTTATCTTTCATGAATTAAACATTTTATTAAATATATTTTCATTTTCTGACTTTGTTCTTTTTGAGAACTAATTCAAACCGAAGATGTTTAGAAGAAAATAATACTATGCCTCGTCATCGGTGAAATCGTCTGTGATCAAGTTTTGAAATCTCCGTTTATGTTTGGAAATAATTAGAAATTCCGAATTTAAAAAAAAATGCAGCTCATTAAATTTAACATTAGCATTGCATAAGAAATTAATTCTGAAGATTTTTTTTTCCTTTGCATAAGGACTTTATTTATCAATTGTTAACAGATATGCGTTTTAAGCATCCACAGTTCCCTTTGTCT